AGATTTGGAGATCAAAATAGATTTGGAGATCAAAATCGTTTCGGCGATACCAGCAAAGTCCAGAACAGGTTCGGTTGGTAAAACAGACCATGTTACCATTTACAATCACTTTCAGTCGATATTGGTACATCAACGATAACTAAAATGGTTCAAATAAGACGTAAGACGCACAAGAATGTTTCACATACAGTTCTAACACTTTTCTGATCTCAGAATAAAACGTCATATTGATAAACCGGCTATAAAAAAATCACTCTTGACTCTACCACTGCCCATGCACCGGAATGTTTGTACTTAAAACTAAAATGCACTAATCGAAATAAATAAATGATACTTATTCGTATATTTGTTGTTGTTGCGTTCTTCTTTTTCAGTTCCATTCTCTTTTCTTTCCTTTGGCCATTTTCCTTCTTCTGTCGTCTGGTGTTTGCATTCAAGTTTCTCGTTCTCTATCCCAACCATCGTTCCCTGTTTGTTTCTCATTRATTTATTTCATAATTCACGGTATCAATTTAGACTTCATTCCCTCTCAAAACTCTTTAATTGACTTCATTCAGGTGTTTAATCTGGGATCTGGAACTTAATCAAAAGGGGATTAAGAAGGATTTATAATCCTTAATATCCATGAAATGACGACGAAATCCCTATGAAATGACTCGRACAAAAGAGAAAGAAAAGTAATCCACGGGCCTGCACACTGTTACATGAAAATTATCGGTCAGMGGAAAACGATTCTAATTGCTGGTTAATTTACATAATCTCTAAGCTCAAAATGAAAAATCAGTTGTGTCAATCAAAYTTTTAGTGTGCGTTTTGTACATAAAGGTTAATATTGACATTATCAACAAAAACCAGAAACACTGACTTAAAATAGCTTACTAATCGCTAAAGAAAGAACATTCTCGTAACTAATGCTTCTCATAGAAGCGGTTAAGAGAGAAAGACTTTCTCAAATCTGCTACTTTCTGCGAGCTGGCATTGCCGTTGACTTGCAAGACAAAAATGGCCAAACAGCTCTCATTCATTGCTGCTTTTCAAGGAACTCAAAAAAGCGTCTTTGCATTTTGAAGTTGCTACTAAACAATGAAGTGGATGTTAACAAGAAAGATAAGTATGGACGAAGTGTGATATCTTGGATATGTCTTCTTGGCTTAACTGACTTGTTTGCGGTGTTAGTTGACGARTATAATGGACAAGTCGATTTGCGAACAGTGGATAATGATGGCAATAATTTGATTATGCTGGCAGTCATGTCCAGAAAACAATGTATGATAAGATACGTTCTGAAAACGCTGTCGAAATGTGGTCTGCTGTACCAAGTCAATGCTTTTAACAGAAAAGGGGTATCTCCACTTTTAGCCGCTTTTCACCAACAAGATAAAGCGTGCGCCGAATTATTAATGACTGAAGGTTGCGCTATAGTATCCACAGTATTGCAAAACCTTAAAAAACTAAATACAACTGGTTATACGAATAAATACATCCTCCCAGAACGAGGCCAAGCGTACTTTACAAAACTACGTGCAATACAAAGGGATACAGACGATTATAAACTAAAACTGCCAAACGAACAAGAGTTTTTGCAGTTTTTATACGGCTCTTCAGAAGACGTTTGTCGCCAAGACAACCGCATGTCGTCCTTTGTTGATTTAAGATCCACAAACACTAATAATATTACTTCAGAGTCAAAAAACAACTTTAAAGGTGATGCCACGAAAAGAAATYAGAAATCTGATAYAAGATCTGATCTACGGTTTTCACATTGGACTCCAAAAGATATTCGTTGCATGCATGGCAGAGCTAAGACTGCCTCTGCACTTGATGTTTCTAGTCGAGAAAGCGCAATAAAAACCATACGAGCTTGCAGTTCAGAAGTTTCCTTGGTAACCGAGACAAATCGGACCGACGGCAGATTTWTCGCACCAAACTCCTTCGAAAATCTGTACGACATCTACTCGACGCAGCTCTCTTATTCCTACCGACCAAGTACGGCCAAAACACCCCCCTCGCCTCCACCTAGTGAGGACGGGATTTTGACCCCACCTCAAAGAAGAACACTACTTCATCGATCGTCCAATATGTCACAAAGCAGCTCGAAAACACTATCAAAGCGAAGTTCAGGTACATCAAGTTTGACATTGATGCCCGTACCCGAGTCTGCCTACGATAGGCAAATGCGCYTGAATTATTCAAGGTCAACACGAGCGTCCAGTGTTCAAGTCAAATCCATGCCTCGCTTATTGACCAAAATCAAAAGAACTCGCTCTTCAACATTCGCTTCAATGAAACTTCAAGAATAGACCGATCAGTTCAATATCAATCAAGTTTTTTGRARTTTGTAATTCCTCCCGGCAGCCCRACCGASAGTCTCCTTCGCAGCAGGCTACTCGAAGTCCGACGAGAAGGTAGGCTGCTAAGGAGATTACCCTATTACARGTAAGTGTATGAAACTGAATTTATTAAAATTTCCTATGAACAAACTGTAGAGAAATTACAATAAAGCTGAAATTCTTCATTTTCGCGTATTTATGTGAAACTATCTGAGAAACTAGGGAAAAACCAGACCTCGCACCAGCCAATAAGAACTCGCGCGTCGCAAAATACCGCTTACATGCAAATACTCCTTTCAGTTATATAAAATGGTCGTAACGACAACTTGTACAATTTAATTTTTCGCACAATAATCCAACTTGTTTAGATATTTTATTTTGGATTCAGTGTCCTGGGGATTGCCATACGGCTTTATGTAAACTTTACGTAGAAAATGAAAACTAAACATCTACAGGGGTTTTCCTTTTGAAAGTCGCTGTTTATATTTATAAATGACATAATTCCACCTGTAAACCGACCAATGGTTTTAGAACACTTCAGATTTTATAATGAGCAATTTGATCGCTGGAGTAAGCAAACCAGCCGGAAGTTCACAAATCGTCTTGATAACGAGGCTAAATCTGTGACGTCAGTGCAAGAGSGCTTCGCATTACGTCATGTGACAAAAATATGCCTGTGTAGAAAAAAGGCGCCTAAACTAACCATCTATTTTTATACAATTTTAGGGGTAAAATTTGAATTTTTTTCGAAAAATTATCATAGAACTTTGTTGAATAATTATTAATATCACGGTTGAAAATCATCCAATTCGAAAAAATAGTCTTTTAGGGTAGTTTTCTGGCGTTGTTTCGGGGGTTATTTGAAAGGAGTTCGATCCAACATGGAGTCTGACGAGAAGCCATTTGTTTGTACGTCCCCAGGTTGTGGTCAGGTAAGGGAATTGCGGCTTCTAACTTCTTCTCGCTACTTGTTCCTGAGGAACTATTGAATGGCTGATGGTGATTTCATCTCGATGTCGTCACTGTCGAGGTCTCTGGCCTTACGTAAGCTTTCATCTATCTGAAAATTTCCCCCTTTTGAGTGTGTATTTTTGATTGCATTTTGTAGAGATTCGCAAATAACGACCATCTAGAAAGCCATAAACAGAAACATCAGTTGTCTCTTAAGTTGCCTGGCATTGGAAATCTTAAGACTAGTGATATTTTAGGCTTAGCAGGTAAGTTTGTCGATAACAACTGTATTGTTGAATGGAACGATGTTCTCTGATTTATTGATGGTTTCCTTCTTTCATAACTTCAAGTTGTCAGAGCACAAATATAACATAGGATTCTCATATCTTTTATTATCATTGAAAGTCTTTTCCTTGAAAAATTTGGTTTTCTATAAATTACCCGTAGATATATCCAAAATATCACTAGATACAATGTTTATAAACGAGTACAAATTCTRCAAACAATWAAGTCCATAGCGTGACTGAACACAAAAGTCCATACAAATCGACGATCACCTTTTAAAATTGCTATGAGGCTTGTCAGAAAGCAAATTGATGGTACAACTACRGATGGGACAAACCCATTGAGCATATAATTTTTTTTTATTTTTTTTTTTTCAAAAAATCTTATGTTTGCCAATAGTAATATTTATTGATTTTTACAATCATTAGAAGATTGATTCCACAAGCCATGGTTTTTGCTGTGTTCTTTTTTTGTGTGCACATACTGGGATGAGTTTATGAACTCTTATTATGAACTCAGACAAATATAAATGAAGATTAGTATTCATAAATAACTGATAATTGACAACAGTTTTTGTCAAAATCATATAATTAGTAACATTACTAATTATGCGATTTCGACAAAAACTGTTGAGCGAAAGATTTGTGTTAAAGTCATACAATTCAACAACACATGTACTATTAACTAAGAATAGTTTAATAATTCCCACAGATCAGACTCCAACACCTACCAGATTTTTAGAAAATCTTGAGAAAGAAGGCTTATTTCAAGATCTTGAGTCTAACAACCCATTTGACCAGGCAAGTGTTTAAAGATTGATTCTGTAGRACAGTTTGAAAGTGGTTCTCAGTAAAYTAACAATTTCTTTTTAAATTTTAGGAATTCAAAAGAGCAAATCCAAATTCAGAGGTATGCAAAAGATTTGATACAAAWTTTTTTWKKAYSKAWMGMMGYA